TAGTGATATGAAGGAAAATATGTGGTTGAAAAAGAAGAAAAAATTATTGATGTGATGGAAAATATTATTTTATTGAAAAATGTGTGGTTGAAAATGAGAATTGATTTACTGTAGAAAAATTTAATCCCTTCCAAACATGGCATATATATATGCCAGTTTCGTCTCCATTTTAATGTATTTTTTTTTTGAAATAGTAATTTTTTGAAGAATGTGTGGTTAAAATTTTTTTGAAGAATGTGTGATTTACGTGTAATATTATTTTACTGAAAAATGCGTGAATAAAAAGAGGAAAGAAAAAAAATGCATTTCGGATAAAATGAAGCCCAAATATGTCGAAAATTTATTGAAGCCTAATTTTGGACTAAGTATCCATTCATTAGACATCAGTATCATGCCGGTTTTGGATCACTCTTCCTGGGCTACCCTTGGAAATCGTTACGCATTGGGGAGGATAACTTCCAAAGTTGGTAAGCCAATTTCGACTGACATGCTTACATCTACCAAAATCGTGATATGTAAACTGCGTAATGAATTATTCTGTGATTTGTTCCGAAAAATTGAGATAATAAGATAAACGGTAGAACAGACACCACTTAGATAGGGTATATCTTGTGTAGAATTAAAGAGTTTCATATTTACAAGACTCATCAAGTATCGTCGGGTGTGATTGCACTATATGTTCTAACGAATCAAACTGCAGAAAGATGAAAATACATATATACACACACATAACTTCATACCTTTGATGGTCCACCCTATAATTAATGGACTATTGACATTCAGTTGAACCCTTTTTCGCTTTGCCAGCAACATAAGATAACTGCTGCTACTTAATTTAAGCATTAAGCATTGAATGATTTTGACTCCAACCACAAGTATATGACTCAATTGAACAACTTCGCTCTAAGAACTTATATATGATTGTTTAGTCCAAAATCTAGGACTGATTTACTGTCATTAGACAATGCAAAGAAATGGACAAATGCGAAAATTCGAAAAGGTTACTTTGTTTAAGTCGGACACAATATTATCATGAATTCTGATTGTGCATCCGATGTTTTATAATTGAGATTTAAAGTTTGAATTTTTTCCTATAAATTATTTGAATTCAAGCATTTTTATGATTCTAATGTAAAGTTCAACTCATTCATCTAAAAGTTTAAGTTATTATAGAGAAGTTATTGCGTTTATTTATGTAAATGTTCTCTACAACACCTATTTTTGCCGTACTGTTCATGTCCATGTGAAAGAGATAAAACATTGTACTGCATGGATAAAAATTGCTTCATCAACACGTTATTACGCATCTAAGCCTTCAATTATTTGTTAATCTTTATAATTCTATTATACACTTATCATTTAATTATTATTTTCCATCATGTAATGGAAAAACTCAATGTATGTGTTATTTTTTTTTCTTTTCTTTTTTTTGTGGGGGTGGGGGGGAGTTTATTCAAAGTTTCAAACCCCCTTCGAACCTCTTAGAACCTGTATAAGTACTTGAAAATTTATAGAACCTATAGAAGTCCATGAACAGTCGGTCACTTCAAAAAAATCTTTAAAATGAGCCTACATAGTACATAAGTACTTGAAAATTTAAATTAAGGCTCCGTTTGGGAGCCATTCTTCTTCAATTAATACATTTTATCTTTCACATCAAGTGGGGTCCATGGAGAATGTGTGGTTGAAAAAGAAGGAAAAGTTATTGATGTGATGGAAAATATTATTTTATTGAAGAATGTGTGGTTAAAAATGAGTAGAAGAATGAGAATGAAAATTTTAATGGTT